TCCTGAATAGATAGACATGCTTCACACACACAAAACATGAATTGAATTGTTGATTACCGGTGAAGCATTCCCATGGAGCAATTCTAATCCACCAAACAGCTCAGTGTGAGAAAAGGGTGTGTGCATGTGTATGTGTGTGTATGTGTGTGTGTCTCTAAGCGTGTGACGCGCACACAACCAGTAATTTGAAATGGGTGTTGTACAAACACATTGGAGCGGCCTCGCCCACTGTAAACCGACAGGCAGCACCAGCCTCAGCAGCTGCAGCTCTTAATCTCCAGCCCGTCGAGCAGGTCTCTGTCTGTCTGTCTGCAAGGGTGGAGGCTGATGGTCACCGCGCCATAAAGCTATCCTCTGGTTGTGTGTGTGTGTGTGTGTTTGAGAGAGAGAGAGAGAGAGAGAGAGAGAGAGAGAGAGAGAGAGAGGGAGAGAGAGGGCCTGGAGGAGAAAGTACAAGAGACGGAAGGAATCTGACTTTCAGAGTTGCATAAACTCCAAAATGACGACTTTGCGTGTCTTAAAAATGACTATTATGACATCAGCCCTCACAAATTAGTCTTAACTTAATCTGAGATCAAAACTTACTGACTCAAAAGATCAAAATTAACGTATTTCAACACAGGAGTGACTGTGGTCTGTGATTACAGCCAGTTTTATATATTCTGAAGTGTTTGTGCTGTGACAACAACTAAACACAAGACAAGTTGTTTATGGAGCGCTGCATGAACACAGGTATTAGACATTAGAAACATCCAGCGGTTCTCAACGCTCTCACTGTGGCTGCTCATGTTTTTGTGGCCCACAGAGTGGATGTTGTCAGGCGCTCTGAGGAGTCAGCGTGACGCAGCTCTCCTCTCAGCGCCCTGGCATGATAATCCTGCCACGTAAGAGCAGAGGTGAGATGGAGAATAAAACCCAAACCCAAGTGCGTCTCACCTGACGTGTCCCACATGTTGAGCTCGATCCTCTGCTTTTCGATCTCGAAGCTGGCCGTGTAATTCTCAAACACGGTGGGAACGTAATTCTGGAATGAGAGAGAGAGAGAGGCATGTGTGAGGCTGAAATGAGATCAGAGCTCAGGGGTGGGGAGGTCATTCAACTAATTTATGAGCAATCTTTGACAATTGAAATTGAGGGATATGAAAATAATATCTGTTGTTCAGAGAATAGTCACCGGCGTGCGTGTGTGTGTGTGTGTGTGTGTGTGTGTGTGTGTGTGTGTGTGCATTGGAAAGTAGATGAGGCCAATTCTGAGCTTTGACTCATCTCCAGATTCAGACATTTAGGTCAACAAGCTGTGATTTCATTATTCTCCAGAGAGTTTCACGTAAAAAACAAATGTTTTCCATCACGGTGAATCAGGCAACAAACAGTGGACTGCTGTTAAAACAGAGGCCAGACACAGGTTTCATGGAAACAATATATGCAGTGAAATGTTGATTTCTCATTGTATATAATAAATATTTCATCTTAAAACTCAAATATTTCCTGATAACTTCAACCTGTCTTGAGTGTTTTATGTTGTTGTTTTTTACCAAAATCCAAGTCCAGCCATGAACATAAGACAGAATTAAACTCTTTCTTGTTTCAATACATATTTGTTGTTTGAATTGGACATGGTCAGGTTTTATTAGTTGCCGTGTTGAAATCCTCAGACAGGGAGGTGAGCTGGTGACTCAGTGTTTTGCTCAGACGCAGCTCGTTGTGCTCAAATAAGCGCTGATCCGATCTCTCAGTATTTACGTGCCAGACGGCTGATGCGCAAAAAGGCGCACAGATGAGCCCAGATCTGTGCGCACAGCTGAATGAATCTGACCGTGATGACGGTGGTGATGATGATGGTGACTTTTTATCGTTCGGAGTCAATGTCCAGACAAAAAACATTTCATTTAGATCATTTTTACATCGTAGAAGACAACAAAGAGCCAGATGGAATCACGTAAAGATAAAGAGCCTCTCTGGATACACCAGCTCTCATCTGGATGAATTTACAGCCTGTCAGTGACATTAAAGCAGGAGCTCTAAAGAAATAAATGTAAATAAAAAGAACTGTGAGTTCCCAACTCGTGATGTTGGGAAGTTTTTGGTGTAAATGTCATGACGCACGGTGGAGACGTTGTGGCTCATGCGTGGTTTTCCCTGACTTTTACGCACTTGTGTCGCAGTCCTGGTGCGTGTTTATCTCCATCAAATACAGTCTCTTACCTCCGGGTACGAGTCCTTGGCGAAGACATGGAGGAGAGCCGTCTTGCCACACTGCGTATCACCGACCACCACGATCTTACAGCGCTGTAATCCTTTGCTCTCCATCGTGCCCCGGGTATCACTCAGCGGTTCGGTGTCTTCTGGTCATTGAGCTCCACGCAGGTCGAGGGTGGAAGAAACAAACTGATGCGGAGGTTTTTTCTTTTTCTCCTCGAGAGTCAAGTCAAAACTTCAGCTCCGGTGTTCGCGGTAGTTTGGTAGTTACATGCTCTGCGCACTGCTGCGCGCTCCCGCTCCTCCGGTGACACTGATGACACCTGGCAAAGCAGCGTCAATGAAGGCTGGCATCCTTTCAGAGGCTTCAAAATAAAACCTGAATACACTCAACGCATACTCAGGGTATTGGCATATGTAAATCACTTGATATGGCCAAAAGTAATATCAAGATTAAAAAAAATCAGCTAGTAAGAAGTATAAATTATAAGTAGGTAGTAGTGAGTAGTATAAGTATGGTGATGGTTTTTGCTCCTGAGTGGAGGTCGTAGTTTTAAACTCTTCTTTATTCACGATGACAAACAGTAGACTGAGGTCGATCAATAATGTGTTACACACAAACTGTAAGCAGTATATCAACATGCATATACTGGACTTTTGTTGTATCGCTGTTGATGAATATTATAGCGTGATGATTGTTGATAGCTTTTGCTCAGCAGCAATCAAAATAAAAACTTATTTAGATGTTTCACTCGGGGTTTAAACATCTAAGAAAGACATACAGGTATATAAATATGCTTATTATTATTGTTGTTGCTTTCATGCTTTAACTTTGAAGGCAAACCCCGTACTTCCGGTGTCTCTGGCTGACTCAGTGTTCTCGACACTTCTGCCTGAATTTCAACATTACTGTCAACTAACACTTTCAATGTCAATGTTTATTCACTTCTCTTCTCCTTGTAAATAAGTAATAATAAATAATGCTGAATCATAATGAAACAAATCCACACAACAGTGAAAAGGAGAAATATTTCCAATAATGTAAAACCTGGACAAAGCCATTAAAACTTAAAAGTGATGGACGTTGCTTTAGGAATCAGTTTATGGAACAATCTCAACAAAGAAACCAAAGAATCTAAAACAAACATATTTAATTAAAAAAAAAATTAGGCTGTATGTTGAGGAAATGCAATACAATGTGTTAATAAGTTTTGTTTTGTTGTGAAGGGTAAATCATTTTGTGAGCTTCTTTGTATGGTATAACATGAATGGTTACTCAGGAGCTAACAGGGATGTGAGGGGGGCTGTGTCTGCCTGCAGCTATTTTAACTTTTAATTCTATTTAATTATTTGCTTTGTTAATTAATGAAATTTTAAAAAGCTGATGAATACAGAGTTGATTATCAAAGATACTGATTATTGTCATGTTAACCTGTGTGACTCATTTTACCACGTTAGTCACGTCATCACAGTTTATTTGTCATCAGTAAAAAAAAAATTCCTCAATGAGCTGACCCCAACTTCTGACCGGGGCCTTAGCGCCATCTTCTGGTCAAAAGGAAGAAGTTTCCACATACTTGGCACAGAGTCAGGGTCCTTTAGTTGTTTATTCATTTTAGACAATTTCTTCTTCTTCTTCATTAATTTGAAAGCAAGAGCTGATTTAAAATACACAGATTCAACTTTGTATTTTGTTTATTTGAACTTAATCGTTCAAGAAATTCAAGACAACAACTTTAAAGCATTGCAGATCATGATAGAGTTTCTTCACAGAAGTGTGTGTGTGTGTGTGTGTGTGTGTGT